TGTTAATTCATATTTAATTTCTAAACTTAATTATATATAAACTTCTAATCCATGAATTGGTTATATTCAAGTTCAAGTTCATATGAAAGTTCTAAAATTAGTTAAATATAAACTTCAAATCCAAGACTATTAGTTATATATATATTCAAGTTTTAATAAGTTCAAGTTTTCAATTCAAGTTCATATCTAATTTCTAAATTTAATTAGTTATATATTCAAGCTAATTAGTTCCAAGTTCAAGTTCAAGTTAATTCTAATTAATTCAAGTTCATATCTCCAATCTATAAAATTAGTCATGTATAAACTTCTAATCCAAAAATTAGTTTTTATATATATATATATTCAAGTTCTAATTCAAAAAACCCCTCTTATATTCATCACATTCAAACATTCATCCTATATATGTTATGACATTCAAACTTCATTCTATTAACAATTTACTAACTAACAATCAAATTTTAAAAATCTCAATTCACAATCAAATTAAAGATTTTCAAATTCAAACAAATACTAAAATCAAGAAACCCTAATTCATTCTCTAACAAACACAATCAATCATTCAATCCAAAACACAAATTCATTCTCTAATTAACAAAATCAAACATAAAAAATTAAAAACTAATTTTAAAGAAACCCTAACCTTCAATTAAAGGAGAAATTAGAGACAATGGAGAGGGAGCTAGGCGGCGGCAACAGCAGCAACGACGACGGTAGCAACGGAGGCAGCAATGGCGGCAGCAACGGACAACGTCTGGGCTTGGAGCAATTTTAGAGAGAAGGAAGAGAGAAAGGAAGAGAGAAGGAAGAGAAGGAAGAATGTGGAAAAAACTCGTCTGGGTATCCAGATATTTTAAGGAAAGCGACAGACAGCGTCTTTATGTCCGTCGCTTTTTCTTTTAAATGTTTGACCAAGATTTTGACCAAAAAGGGACGGATTATGCGACACTGTCCATCGCTTTTTTTAAATATTTGACCAAGAAGCGACGGACACAAAGATGTTGTCCGTTGATTCTTTAAAAAATAATTATTAAATAACAATTAATAGAAAGCGACTATATATAATTATTTTTAATAAAAAGCGACGGACATCGTCTCTACCTATATTAAATAATTAATTATAAATTATATATATATTTGGCGCAAAAATCCGCTAAAAAAAAGCGACGGACTAAGCGATGCTGTCCGTCGCTTTTTGTCAATAATTTAAAAAATTAATTATTTTTTACTAAAAAGCGACGGACAACGTGGCAAAATTCGTCGTTTTTCTGGGCGACGCAGTCCGTCGCTTTTCAGTGTGTCATTTTTTGGCAGTTTTTTAGTAGTACTAGTTGATTGTGATCTTTAGGAATTAGAGTTAGCTCCAAGATTGCAAGAATTGTAATTCGAATTCTGTTGAGGCTCATTAATTTAGTAAAGTTAGAATTAAATCATGTAGAGGTACACGTGATTTTTTACACTTTTTGTGAGCCAATTATTTTTCACGTAAAAAATTGTGTTCTTTACTTATTGCTCGTGCTGCTTCGTTGGAACACGTTAAACAATTTGTTTCACTTGTAGGTAATTCTAGAGTAAATAACAAGTTCATATGGAATATCAATTGGTACATGAACAGATTTTCTTGTTAATAGTTTAACCACTTAAGAAAAGATTAGGATAAATTAAGCACCTCCACTTGAATACAGTAAAGGACAAACAAGCCTCCATTATTGAATGGACATATTACTCACGGTGGAAAGCAAGGAAGAAAGTTTTTATCTAGATCGAAGATTATGAATTTTGGAATAGAGTCACTGATGGACTAAAGTATCGAATATGATGTTGAAGACAATGACATACCAAAGGAAAAGAGTGAACAATGAGGCTGAGTTCAGGATGCTTTGAAAGAATGTCAAAGCTAAATTTATTCTTATCTGTAGCCTTGAACCAGATGAGTACAATAGAATATCTAGTTACACCACTATAATATAAAATTGGGATACTCTCATGAATGCACACAAAGGAACATGTTGTAAGATGTGATCCAATGATAGTTTTCAAGCAAGTTGTCACAAGTGTGATAAGATTGAGCACATGATAAAAAAATATCTACGGTGAAAAATTGAGTGGAAGAAAAAAAGAGCTGAAAAAAAATAAATATAGGAGAAGGAAAAAAAAAGAACAAAAAAAAATATATCATGAATTCATGGGGATCAAGGTCAGAAGATTAAAAAAAAGATGAGATTGCTCTCATGGCTATTAGAGATTCAGAAGAAGAAGAAGCAAACTTTGAGGTAAGTATTCTTGACTTTAAAGGAAAATTACATCTTTTGTTGAAAAGAAAACTAGTTTCCTTAATGAATGCTTTAATTGATGATTTTCAAAAGTTAACCTCCGATAATGATCATTTTTTCTATGCTCATTCAAGTATAAGGTTTAGTTACATTGATCTTAAAACCTACAAGACTGACATTGATAAAGAGAATAGCACCATAAAGGACTAGGAGTTTGTGCATTGCAATGAAATTTCAACACAATAGATAAATATTAATCAAAGTCAAATTGGTTAATATATGGATAGAGTAAGGCCTAGGTTACATTTGATATTCTCTCAACTCTCAAACTCCAAGATCCTTACCAATAAAACACCAAACATTGCTTGAGTAGATAGACTATTCCTAGCTCATATCATTAAATCAGAAATTAATTGGATTATCCTATCTCTAGCCCAAATTTATAGACTAATTTCACCTAGTCCTTCCTATTGAAGTCTTACGTAACTCCATTTTGATTTCTCAAGTCAAAACAGTGTTAGAGATCATAATCAATGTTTGCAACCACTAATTTAAGATTAAAACTTCAAGACAATCATAGATCCACGCATAACAACCAATTTTAGAACTAATTAATCAATATTCATTGGATTTTACACTCATATCTTGCACACACTCTTAACTACATATTTAGCTACTCATAATTAAAAAAAATAGGGATAATACCCATATGTTAGGTTCCAAAGATAAAAATAAATTAAAGGGATGAGTAATTCAAAGCATTTTTTAACACACTTAAATATCTTTCGATTATGTGACATGTTCTTAACCATTGTCCCTTCCTTGTCATTAACAGCCTTTGTTGGAGATATTAATTAGACATCATTGTAGATTCATTATTGTTTTATTTTAGTGTTATAAACTATTACTTTCTCCATTCATTGTTATTTTCTATTATAAATTTTGCATACAGAAGTATAGAATCAATAATAGATATAAAGATTTTACCATGATGTCTATTATTAATTGATGTTTAATATTAAATTTTGAAAAATATTTTTTAGGGATAATGCATAAGTACTCCCTAGACTATGACCGAAATCCCAGAGACACACCTAAACTTAATCAAGATCCCATTACCCCCCTGAACTCATTTTGTTCGTATTTTTGTGCACCTTTTGTGCTGATGTGGCACCTTCAACCACTCAAGTTGGTTGTGTTTGTACACACTCGCCCGCCACGTGTGAAAATATTATTTTTTTTTTAAAATTAATATTTATTTTTTTAAAATTCAGTTTTTTTTAAAAATAATCTTATTTTATTTAATCTTGTATTTAAATTAATTGATACAGTTTTCTTACCTTGTATCGAAACTTTTTTTTTTACCTACATTCATTATTTTTCTCTTTTATTTTTCTATTGATTTAATTTTCTTTGTCTTTCGTTTTGATTTGATTTCAAATGTCTTATATTTAAAATAAGTTAATTTTGAATGGATATCAAAATAAGTGAAGAAAATCAAATAAAACATAAAAAAATTAAAATGTTAAAATTAAAGGAACTTTTAAATTATTTTTTTTGAAAAAAAATTACACATAATTTTTTAAAAATAATTAAAAGTGAAAATATAATAAATTAATTAGAAAAAAAGTTTAAAAGTGAAAAGAAATTAAAATAAATATTTTACAAAGAAATAAATAAAAATAATTAAATATATATAAATTTTATTGTCAATAAATATGTGTACTAACTAATTATAAAGTTTCAATCAAAAAATGACATGTGTCCAATTTGTGCACTCATCACTTGCATTCAAAAGAGTATGCACACTCTCTATGTCATGTTAGCGTTTGTGGTGTATTAATTTCATTTTAAATTAGTTTAGGGGGATAATAGGACCCTAGTTAAGTTTAAGTGCCCGTTTGGATGGGCTTTTAAGTTGGTCAAACTGATTTAAAAGTCAGTTTTTGACTTATTAGACTGCTTGGTAATTATCAAAGTGACTTAAAAATAAGTCACTTTTGGCTTATTTTAAGTCAAAAGTTAAAAGTAGGGTGAGGGCTACTCTTTTTTTTTTAAACTTTAAAGCCATTTTATGTTGACCAAGTATATTACTTTTTTACCCTTAATTCTTTTACACAATTCCCAAATTGCCCTTAAAACCCTAACATTTCTTTACCTCAATTTTCTTTTTCACGTTTGTGCGGCTGGAAGCATGAAGCGTTCTTCCTTTTCTCTCGATTTGAAGGGTGAAGATGTAAAGCATGGAGTAAGTTATCTTTAGATTAGCTTTCTTCCTTTTCTCTCGATTGATAGAAATGGTATCAAATGTAGTAAATTAATGAATAGTTTTAAGTTTTTTCTTGATTATCTTTCGATTTTTTTTATTTTTTTTTATGTATTTTTTTTTGTGTGTCTTCTGTCGCTGATCATGTTTTGTGTATTTTCTATTTTGTGTTTTTTTTTTTGGATTATGTTTATATAATTTGATTGTGTGTAGTATATATTTGTCATCTATATAAGATTATGGAAGTAGTTATTTTCAATTTTCTTATCAATTTTCATCTTTAGATAAGTCACACCATGTCGAAAACACAAACTAATGCTAAGTGGGATGGTGATGCTCATCTCAAATTTATAGAGTTATGTGAATTAGAGATTAGGAAAGGAAATAGACCTAACACTCATTTATCTAGAGATGGATGGAAAAATATGACTAAAGCATTCAATGAAAACACGGGAAGACGCTATAAAAAAAACAAATGAAAAATCATTGGCATGGCATGAAAGCCGAGTGGACTCTTTTTAAGCAATTGATGAGAGGGGATACATGTATAGGATGGGATGCCACCAAAAATACAATTATGACAGATGATGATTGGTGGAAGCGAAAAATTAAGGTACATTTCTCACATTGTTCTATATGTCTTTTTATTTCTTTTATTATTATATTTTTACTTGCTTAAATTTGTTGTTTCATCTTTTGTTACAGGAGGATGTTCAATATAGAAAATTTAGGAATAAGGATCTTTCACTCATATGGTTTCGCTATGATGCATTATTTTCTGACATTATTGCTACGGGGGAAAGAGCACGTGCCTCAAATCAACCCCAATTTTTTGAAACTGGATAAATTTTGACGAAGAAATACCAAATGATATTGATAATGATGGTATGGAGCACTTCATTAATACTAATGATGAAGGGGGTGATGAAAGTGATGATCCACAAGATATGGATTCTACTATGTTTCCTAAACCATCACTAAAAAGACAAATTTCAACTGATGGTATTGGAACTAGTAATCAAGTGAAAAAAAGTAAGACAAAATCTACAGCTGCATCAATGAAAGAAGATATGCACTCTTTAGTAGAGTTAATGTCTAACAAAAGTACTGCTGCATCTCATGCTGTAGATGATCCCACCATTGATAAGTGTATGGATTTTTTGGCAAACATTCCTGGCATTTTTGAAAGGGGTGAAATGTACAACTATTTTGTGAACATGTTTCTTAAAAAAGACATTCGACAAGTGTTTCTTAAGATGCCTACGGATGAAGCTCGAAAGTCTTGGATGGAGTATAACTATCAGTTATACCTTAAGAAAGTGTGAAGAATGTGTTGTTATGGAAAAAGTAATTTTATTATTTTATGTTTGACATTATCCTTGTACGCATGAACTTTATTTATTGTCTTTAATTTTGTTTAGACATTATGATTGTATAGTTAAACTTTTTTAAGTTAAGTCCTAATTTATATAAATGTGTTTGTTGTGTTGAATTTATGTAAATGTATTTGTTGTGTTGAATTTATATATAGGTATTCATTTTGTTGAATTTATACATATGCGTTTGTTGTGTTGAATTTATATATAGGTCTTTGTTATGTTGAATTTATGTAAATGTATCTGTTGTGTTGAATTTATATGTAGGTGTTTGTTGTGTTGAATTTATATGTATGTGCTTGTTGTGTAGAATTTATATAAAAATGTATGTTGTGATTGAGTTTATATAAATGTCTTACTAATATAAGTAGTAGAATTGAAATAATTATTGTGGATTCAAAAATGTTGTAAGTAAAATATATGTGTCATTAAATGTGAAATAATGAAACTTTTATACTCTTGATTTTTTTTAATTGGAGATATTTTTATTTCTAGTTAAATGGAGGATTTGGACTTTACCATATCACCCCATTTAAGTGATTTGTTAGATGAAGAAGATAAAGAACTAGGCCAAAGTAGGAGAGAGCAAAACGAGAAAGAATGGATGGCTCTATGTCGGATAGCAGGTAAATACATTTTAATGTATTATGAAAAATACTTATTCAAAGAACTTTGTCGTACATCAAGGCGTTCCGGGTATATATTTATTCAAGAGATATTACAAGGAAATGAAACTCGTTGTTATGAAAATTTTCGGTTAAAGAAGGAGGTGTTTGTTGATCTATCCAAAGATTTAAATGAAAAATATGGACTTAAGCCCACGCGTGGAATGTCTATACATGAAATGTTAGGCATGTTCTTAATGACTTGTGCACATGGAGTGGGAAATCGAATGATACAAGATATCTTTCAACATTCGGGGGAGACGGTTCATAGACACTTTCATAGTGTTTTAAAAGCCGTTTCTAAGCTTGCAAGAGACATTATTAAACCACATTTAAATTATAATGAGGGTGTTGGAGCTCACAAGCCATGTAATGAACGATATTTGCCTTTCTTTAAGGTAAGTAACAACTTTTAGTTTGCTATATTTTTTTAGTATTACTTGTTATATTTCTTTAGCTTAACATACCTATATTTTTAGGATTGTATTGGAGCACTTGATGGCACACATGTTAAAGCTAGATTGCCATAAGGTCAACAAATACCTTATATTGGACGTAAAGGTTATCTGACTCAAAATATCCTTGCCGTTGTGAATTTTAATATGTGTTTTACATTTGCATGAGTTGGGTGGGAAGGAGCAACTCATGATAGTTGTATATTTGGTGAGGCTCTTCGTAGAAGTGAACTTAACTTTCCACATCCTTTACGCAACAAATATTATTTAGTGGATGTAGGATATGCACACATGAAGGGATATATGGCTCCATATAAAGGAGACAATGTGAGATATCATCTTCATGACTTTCGTCGTGGTGCAACAAGTGCGTAAGCCAAGAGGACACATTGAAAAATTTAATTATATGCATTCTTCATGTAGAAATATAGTAAAGCGCACATTTGGTGTTTGAAAAGCAAGGTGGTCTATTTTGCAATATATGTCTTATTATGACATTGACACTTAAAAGGACATCGTACTTGCTACTATGGCCATTCACAATTATATTTTAAAAAAATGCAATGTGGATGATGCATTTCAAACGTTGAGGATGAGAGATATATTCCATCGGTTGACTCCGAATTTGACACAAGTTCAAGCACTAACAATATAGAAGAACAAAGTGATACATATTGGATGGGGCTTCGTGACATGATTGATAATGAAATTGGTAATGTTTGATGTTTGTATTATTTGAGTATTTCCACTTTTATAGTAGTGAAGTGTTCTCTATTATTTTGATATTTGTATTTGAATCAAACAACTTTTTTTTGAAATATGAATTTATATTCCTCTTATAAATAATTTGTGATGATAAAGAAGTATGTGAATTATAGACAATTATTATTACTTATGAATGAAATTAAAATAAATCTTAAATCTTTCAAGTGATCTATTCAAATTATATATTTTTAAAATCTAAAATTAAGTTGTGCATATAAAATTAACTTAAATAATAGATTTATATTCCTCTTATAAATAATTTGTGATGATAAAGAAGTATGTGAATTATAGACAATTATTATTACTTATGAATGAAATTAAAATAAATCTTAAATCTTTCAAGTGATCTATTCAAATTATATATTTTTAAAATCTAAAATTAAGTTGTGCATATAAAATTAACTTAAATAATAGATTTATATTCCTCTTATAAATAATTTGTGATGATAAAGAAATATGTGAATGATAGGAAAATATTATTACTTATGGATGTAAAATATAAATTAATTTTGTTTTATTTTTTTTTAAGAATAAAAACCTTAAATTAATCAAATTTTTATCATGTTAACAACTTTAAGGGTATTTCAAACATTTTGATAAAAACAAGTGTTTACCAGCACTTATTTGCCAAACACATCAACAACTTTTTTTTTCAACTGGAGCACTTTTATCCAAACACATAACTACTTATTTTAAAAATAAGTTTCAGCACTTTAAAAAGTTACTTTTTAAAAGTTACTCTTTTTAAGCCAATCCAAATGGGCTCTAAGTGTGTCACTGGGACTTCGATCATAGTCTAGGGAGGTACTTATGCATTATCCCTATTTTTTATAAATAAATAATTAATGCTAAGGGTAAATATGAATATATAATAATTATCTATTCTAGAATATGTTTAAGATGCCAAGAATAAATAAAAATTTATTTTTAAAATACTGAACAAGTAAAAGTAATTGGGAAAGAAAGTAAAAGAAAGACAAATAATAGGAAACACGTACTACTGTTTGCAATAATTTTTCAGTGTCTACAACTATATCAAAAAATGATCTTTAGCGGCAATTAATTAATGATAATAGTTTAATTACTGCTAAATATGTATTTTTAGCGGTAATTAGCACCAGGGCCGTCTTAACCTAGGCCACTAAAGCCATCGCTTGGGGCCCCATATTTTTGGGGGGACCCCAAAAAAATTTTAAAATACTTATATAAATATTATTTTAAAAAATTATATGTACTTTTAATTATTTTTTTAAAAAAAAACATGTAAGTATAAAAAAAAAATGACCGTTAGTTTTCCCACTTTTTTAAGGGAATGAAACATTTTTTTGGGAATAATTTCCTTAAGTGGGAAATTGTGTTTTCTTATTTATCTCCTAAAAGTTTGACCCTATATTATTATTTACCTTATACTCATATTTTTTATTCTCTATTTTATTATTTTTATTCTCAATATTGAACTCTCTCCTACAATTTCTTTTGTTTTACTGTTGCTTACAGGTTACAAAAGAACAAAATTTGCTTTTGGATATCTTCTTCAAAATCTCAAGATGTGAACCAAGCAATTATTATATTGAAGGAACACAATACTATTTTGATATTGTTTTATCAACTTATCAAATTCTTTAGTCAGGTTTTATTATTCTAACTTTATTTTATAGTTTTTTCTTGAAAATATGTTATTGTTGATATTCTTAGTTCATAAGTATATATATTTTTGTTTTAGTTATTATTAATATTATTCAAATTAAATATGTCAACTAGAAAATATGATTTCAGTTTGACAAAAAGAGAGAAAAAGGAGCCCTTGATAGATTTTTAACAAATAATAAAAATTCTGGAAAAAAGTATTACTTAAAGAATAATGTCAACAATTCCTGTAACTGTTGCCTCAGCTGAAACAAGTTTTTCGAAACTAAAATTGATAAAATCTTATCTAAGATCAACAATATCTCAAGAGAGATTGAATGGATTAACTATAGTATCAATTGAAAAAGGAATTACTAAAACAAATCGATTATAAAACAGTAATTAATAACTTTGCATCTAAAAAGGCTAGAAAAGTAGATTTTAAATAAAAGTATATATGATATATATATATTTTTTAAAAGAATTTTAAAAAAGTATTAGGGCCCCTCTTTAAAATTTGGCTTTAGGCCCTCCAATCTTGTTGAGTCGTGTAACGACCTGACCACATCGTTATAGAAAAGTCAATGGAGAAAGAATTGGGGCCAGAAAACTTTTGAGTAGTAACTTTGGATTTCCTAGCCTAGTCCAGATTTGGACGAAATCGTAGTCAGTGAGGTCTAGGGAAATATGGTAAAAAATGAGAGATCTAATTATGATTTTGATCACATGACTAGATAGCTAAGACGTTAAGGAACCCGTACGACTTTACGGAATGAGTAGAACTAGCTCCCGAAACTAATCTTAGTGTGAACGGGTATTTTTTGAGTGTCATGGGATGAAGGGGTGTTGTGAAAAGGGGGTTTGGGATTCTTAATTTTGCTCACCGTTTCCGTGCAAGCCGCTGTGGCGGAATTATTTCTGCCAGGGCGGGGCCACAGTAGCGGGGTGATAACCGCTGCGGTGGGACATTAGCGATTTAAGTCAAAAATAAACCCAAAATTGTTTTATTCTGCAAGTTTGGACTTTGAGAGCTAGGAGACGACCCCAAGTGCATTCTTGACAGTTTTCCACCATTCTTGAGGCTAAAGGTAAGGTTTTAACTCCCCGAATTCATTTTTCGATCCGTAGAATGCAAATTCGTGAGTGATTATCGATGGGGGAGGGTTTTGATCTGGAAATTATGGTGGAAAAAGCCCTAATCTGGGGTATAGGGATCAAGGGTTTGGCCTAGGATTGATAATGTTGATTATAATCCAGGAAATTAGGCATCGTTTATTGATCCTTACGTTAATTGTATGTTTTTAGCCCACGAACAAGTGGGAAGAATCTGGAAATGGAAGATTCAAGTGCCTTAGGG